GTCATCCCCCAAAGATAGTTTATAATATCTCCATTGTGTAAAGCAACAGTACAGCATGCCTTGATGGGACACAGAATCTCCTTCTACTTCTATGAGGCAGTTATTATCTCAAGTGAAGGCTATGCAATTGGCAACTCAGTTGCTTGCAAAGTTTATGGTTGGCTTTTGTGGTTTTGGGGCCTCATCCATAACAACTTCCTTGTTCAGCAAAAAGGCTCCTTAGTTGTTCAAGGATCCAATGAGATACCTAGGGTTACTATCAGATGAAGAGAGTCATTATTTGCTTCCATTTGAACAGTCATCTTCCATCTTTGGTGGAGATGTAGCTCAGGAATAACATCAGAGATAGCCAGTGGCCAAATACATGGCTTTTATAGCAAAAGACAGGAATTAAAATATCAGTTTGATTCAGCCTCTGCTAGGTCATAAGTTCAGTTAGTGATAAAGGTGACCTGATATATCACTACTGGACCATTTCTAAGAAAACAACCTAATAGTCTGTCAAAAAAGATTATATACCATTTCTTCAAACTCAGAATATATAAATATACTTTTGTCTGAATAAATTTTTCACTAGTACCATTGGAAATATCATTCCATCATATTTTGTAGAGGCCCTACAAATAATCTCCAACCCACACTCTCTGTTGTACTGTTGTCTAGCAACATGATACACACAAACTATCATGGCTAAGCCTAACATGAGATTTCCCACTTTTATCTTCTTGTTGTTGTAGAAGTGTGCCAAATCCAGTGGGGAAAGAAGGTGGTTATATTACAAGTACAATCGTATCTGTCAGAGAAGCCTGGTTAACAACTTCACAAATACTGGTCAATCCTCCTGACCCTGGAAAGCCAAATACTACAAAAATAACATTCCAAGTCCAATCTGTCTCTGTTACAAGTTTAAATATAAATCAAATAAACATCACAATACTGATCTCATTTGTTAAATCTACATACACAGCTGTACACGTGTACGTATTGTTGCATATCTGCTTGTTTGTTAATTTCCGGTATAAATTCTTTCCGAGGAACTTCAGTGATACAAGTCCTTTCTTGATTAAACCAGTTTATTCTTCTTCAATACAAACTTTTAGCACACAGTAATTCCACAGTCAGTACGTTTCTCGTCACTTTAAACTTAACAATTTTTATAATACACGCTATAAATCACAGCAATTGACAATCTCGATAATTTCGCTACGAGTGCAAAACACACACTTTATATTCTTCCCGGTGGCTTTCTCTGCCAGGCTTATATACTAAAGAGGAGGGCATCTCAAACAAACTCAGTCTTCCCTGATAATTCGAGAAACTTCACGTACACTACCAACGCCCCGTGACTTCCATTGTTATAACACTTCCCCTTCCTTAGTATTGTTCAGAACGAACAATAGCCACTTACATTAAACCAATAGATAATTAACAATAACGTAATTCAATGTACAGAATTTACAAACACAAAATTAAAATACAACAAAGTTTCTTAATTTTACAGGACGTTTCTTCTTTCGTACTGATTTCTGTCTTATTGGCTTCTGCTTTACGTGGGATTCATCTGCTCCATCAGGAAATGTCCCATTATTGGTAGCAGTCACATCAGTGGTAGTAACTTCATTAACAGCTTCACTGTTTTCCTTCTCAAAACTGGGTAGAGTTTCTTCTTCAACAGTGACTTTTTCAGGTGACATGTCTTCAGCAGCATTACGTGTTCTGTTGTTCATTTCATTCCAACTGAAATGTCCTGGACCGTGATAACGCCAAAGCCTGTTGGCATGCACCACCTTCAGCTTACTTTGCCGACCACATTTTATTCAGAAAGTCACATCTGAGAGACAATCCACTATGTCATATGGGCCTTCCCATGGAGAAGACAACTTAGGAGACTTCCCTTTGGTCTTCCTGGGATTATACAACTACACCTTGTCTCCTGGTACAAAGCTGACTTCAGTAGATTTCTTATCATAACATAGCTTCATGGAATCAGCAGAGGTTTGTAAGTTTGAACGCACTTGATGATGAATATCATCCATCCTTTCAGATAACATGAACTCTGGCACATTTTCAGGCAACTCTTCGTAAGGTGGGCGTCCTGTTATCAGGTTCACTGGCAACCGAAGTTCCCAACAAAACATCAGCTTTGCTGGAATGTATCCAATGGCTTCATGCTCTGCTGTTCTATAGGCCATCAACAGTGGAGGAAGTAAGACATTCCAGTCATCTTGGTGGCTATTACAAAACTTTGCCAATTCCTGTCCCAGTGTCCAATTGTACTTTTCTACCATCCCATCGGACTATGGGTAAAGTGGCATTGTTCTGCTCTTTCGTATGCCAAACAACTTGCATCATTAATGGAACACAGCTGATTCAAAGTTACGGCCTTGATCTGAATGCAGTTCGTATGACATACCAAACATGAAGAAGAAACCACTAATAGCCAAAGCTACAGCTGTAGCTTCCTGATTTGGTATTGTATATCTTTCGTCAATACACCCATTGTTAATTATTTGCGAGATAAAGATTGTTTTAGTTGTTTTATACTTTGTACAAAACCTTTTCTTTTTTACATTTCAAAGTCAGAAAACTAATATTTACTCTGTAATATATTTCCTGATCAAACCTCCTGTTATTCCACCCAAATACTCCGAGATAAAAATCGGCACACTTGAGAATACACACCTGCTTATTGCTCGATAATATTAAAGACGTCTTTGTTTAGTGAAATAGATAACTTGTGTGGTTATTAAAAACAACATAAAAATATTATTACAAACTTTCCTCTAGAATATATTAAACAAACTGAGGTCATGAACTTAAAAAAAAAAATGTGTGGGTGGATGCTTTGGTAAATAACGCAAAAATCCTAATGTTCACAAAATTTATTTATAACATATTATTCCAGTATTCATTATGATCTCACCCAACATTTTGTATAAGCTTTATGAAGGCACTATGTATATACTTAAAACATGATATACACTGTGTGATGGTTTGTTTGTTTTGAATCTCACGCAAAGCTACATGACTAATGTCAATACTTGGCAGCTCGTATGTCCAAATTAAAGATAATCACTCACCACAGAAGAACAAGCCATGCATATTGCTCTCCCTACAACAAAATATGTACCCAACCCAAAACTGTAGACAAAATCCTGTTGGATAATCCAGTAAGTAGACTTGGTCAGCTCAATCAAATTTTAAAAAAATCATCATCAATTAGTTTCCGAGACCTATCAAAGTTTATTCTGCCTTTTTTTTTTTCCTGCTACACGTGTTCTTCAAAAGATTAATCACATTTGCACTGTTACAATTGGTATGGTTTTTCTACTTTGCAGGTTTATTGAGTACAAATTATTTTCTGTCCAGGTGAATTTTGCAGAAATGTCTGCAGTTAAGATGACAACATCATACATAAGAAATATATGGGTTCATGTTTCAAGTGATACAACAGTCAGCCGAGTACGTTTTGGGCACATAACACATTTGTCGAGACTGTTGCACGTTAACCTGGTGTTCAGTCTCAAATACTTAGAGGTTGTACAATCTGTTTTATTCAAAGATGCATCAGCAGTAACATGATGAAGATATGTAGAGCTTGAATCACTTCTATCAGCTTTACTGTCATCTGGCATAAATACCACTTGGTGACAGCATTTGGAACAAATGACAACATCTTCAGCAGGAGTTTTCAGGCTCTTTTCTTAGTTTATAATTACATTATCCTGATATGCATCTTCCCTCTTTAGGTCCACATATCACACAGCATACAACATATCTGTATATCTTCAGCATGACTGAAGGATATTTCATTAACATCACTTGAGCACCTCTAATCATGTGACCTGAGCAGTTAAAAATACAACTATTCATCATTGTGGGAATTTTTTTTCACATCAAACCAAGTTGTCAATTATCTGTAAACCCACGTAGTATGACAACTATGGCAATGAATCAGTTGAAATCTAGGCTTTCTATTGATTATAAGTTTAATGGGAGTCGGCCTCAAAAATCTATTAGCAAATTGTAAATTAGAGCATGTCAGAGGTAGGCTTGGAAAGTGGTTTCTGAATTTTCATTGATTGCTCTTTAGCCCCATAAGATTGAAGAATATAAAAATATTGCTTCAGAATATCAATGACGAAATTATAGAGAATATTTTACATTACATTTCGTAGTTTTCTAGGGGATGGACCAAAAAATCCAGAAGAGGAAATGGCTCAAGAACAAATATCCAAATTCTCACACCAAGGGAATTTGAGGTTGTTTTTAAATATTTTCTTATACAATTAAGAACTTAAAACTTGTGTAATATTGAAATTTGATTTATCGTCTATGATCTGATGTCAAGTTTGTTCATATACCATAATAATCAAATAGTTTAATTAAATTTTGAATGTATCTCACTAAATGCAGTGACATGCTCAGTTTGACCTGCCCGCTTGCTTAGGGGTTAATCACACAGGCACAATCACGTTTTTTTCCAGAGCGTGGGAGTCACCAGTTTCCCATATTTCATGCTACTGCCAAATTTTCATGGTGAGATTCCTATTTACTGAAATACCAGAGGAGACATTTGATCAAAACTCTGAAGATGGGACATGTGATAACAGATATTATTCTCAATATATGATATACTATAAACCAGTATCAGTACCACCAGTACTGACGGCCTGGTACTGACTGCAAACCCTGTCTCTGATACTGTTTCTTACTAACAATGTTTTTGGGTATTGACCTATTAAAGATTTGATAATTCTAAAATTTGAAAAGAAAAATTGTGTACAATTAAAATATCTAACAATAAGAATCTTACACTCATTCTACAAAATGTTAAGTTACAAAAGCAAAACTAGTATTATATATGAAATGAGAAACAGTAACTTTTTTAAAATTATGAGTTTTATTTTCAGATAAAGACTCCATTTTTGATTACAAAATTTGACTCATAAACATATGAGCCAGTTACTAGAGCAAGATCAATTGAATGACACATAATCTTCAACAATGCATGTTTTTTAATACCACTTTTTTTAAGCATAACGTTTAACACAATGGCCCCTATGAAGTTTTATAACTCTTTAATAAAAGATACTTTTCATCTCTACCCTATCATGTTAGGGCTTGTCCAAACTAACAATTCATAATTACCAGTCTATACACACATTTAACCTGGTTCTTATTACCTCACTGCAATTTCCATTAACTTCTTCACCACAATAAAGTACTAAGTATAGTAAAATACTTCAAACTGACACAAATGCAACTTTTGGCCACTTATTAAGCTGTAAATTAACTGGAAATATTTAAAATTTCTAATATACTTTGTCTAACATTTTTTGAGAGCAATGAAGTACATTTGAATCAAACTTTTTAATATTTTTTAAACAAGAAAATCAAGTAGAGGGCGACACAATTTATGACTAATGTCTTAAGTTTAAAATGAAAGTTTAATTCCTGTTCATAGATTTCCTTCTTGAAGATCATATAATTAGTTTGATGGCAGTATTTTGTATCTCATCAGAAAAGAAAGTGAAGTACAAACAGTAGCACAGTTATTGACAACTGTACAAGAGATATATAGATACATACGTTTATGTGTAAAATCAGTTTTCAAATATTTATTTTTTCTGTACATAATAACTAAACTTATACAATTACTAGTATCTTTTTAATGTTCCTCCATTCTTCTGCCAGTTGCAAGAGATATCAAGCATCAAACATAGATGTATATCACAGCCAACTCAATGAGCAACTGATTGAGATAATAAATTGCACATTTTTTTATCATGATGGTTGTTGAAAAAGTTTACTGCATGGCTGAGACCACATACAAGTTGAAAGTGTAAGTCACTCTAATCGGGGCTTCCAATGTTATTTTTTTCAACATGAGATAAACCTGGAGACCAGAGAGACTAGACAGCTGACAGAATTTCTACTTTGTTGGTGCCTAAACTGGAGGAACCTGAAGCAAAAGAACAGTTCTCTGGTCAATTTTCACCAAAACATAATTATATATATTAACAGTCTAAAATCAAATTCACTCCAAAAAGTTTAAGTAATAACATATTCTATGAGTTTCAGAAGTTTGTCTTGAGGACATCCTGTCAAGCGTACATTATAAAAACTAAAAATAGTACAATGAATAAGTATGTGACACCTTGATACTAGCTTGAAAAAAACAACAATAAAATGTACAACTATTAATATAAAAATTTTACATATTTCCACATAATAATCTTTGCAAAAACAATACCATATTGTAAAAACTAGTGTGAGTCCTATTTAGAAGCATAATGATGTTCTAGATATTCCTTTTAAAAAATGTTCATGTTTGTGCTTGCTGTTATTGGTCCTTTTTATTGGCAACTAAACCATACAAAAAGAACAACCTATGAAAAGTTCTTGAAAGTGTGTGACTTGTTTTAAAACAAGTCACGCACTTTCAAGATTGTCTCTGCAGTTACCTGTTTTAGGAAAAGTGCTTAAAAATTCAAAACAAGTCACGCACTTTCAAGATTGTCTCTGCAGTTACCTGTTTTAGGAAAAGTGCTTAAAAATTCAAAACAAGTCACGCACTTTCAAGATTGTCTCTGCAGTTACCTGTTTTAGGAAAAGTGCTTAAAAATTCAAAACAAGTCACGCACTTTCAAGATTGTCTCTGCAGTTACCTGTTTTAGGAAAAGTGCTTAAAAATTCGAATTTTTAAGCACTTTTCCTAAAACAGGTAACTGCAGAGACAATTTTTTGTTATTTATTCTCTAAAAATTTCCTGCTTTCTTAGTAGATGTTGTTAACACAGAAGTAGTAGTAATGTTACTAGTACTTTTTTGAAACTGATAGTTATGCTCTTTTACTATTGTATTTTACTATTTTAATCATACCTATCATAGACAGAGAGTTGAAAACCTAGAGAGCATATGAAAAAAACATAACCTGCTTTTTTTATGTTGTAAAACATCAGTAAATTTGATTGACAAACTAAAAACAACTCAACATGTTCAGTTTGTGTGAGCAAAAAAAATGTTTTGATTCTTCTATTAGAATATCCTTACCATCAGATTAAAAGAATAGCTATTTTCCTGGAGAGTTAGATGAGCAAAATTCCTTACATCTCTGTCGTTGTCTACTTGTAACCTTCTTAAGGCTTGAAGTAACAATTCGTGGTGAGGATTCTGGCTGCTGGAAAAATAGTCTACAAAAGAAATGTATGACATAGAAATTTACTATTCTTCTGTTCTTGTGTTTATAAACTATGGTTTCAACTGTGCATATAAAGGAATCTTAGAAAAACAATTTTCCTTGTAAAGTTTATTGTATGTAACTTTAAATACACATAATTGCTTCACAATAAACTTTTATTAATATATTTCTTCCCAGCCATTGCCAAAAGTAAATCTGCTGGCCTATACAAAAATCACCATCAACACTAACTTAAAAAACCAATCCATCCTTCAAAATTCTTCCTTATACCAAAAACTTTGAAACAAGTAGCCATTTAGGAGCAAAGAAGGTAATGACATCTGGATATATGCAAATGCATTTATCATTTTCTCGATATTTTGCCTTATGGCTTTTTCATGAGATGACCCTATTGAACAGAATAACAGCAGTTAACTTTGTGAAGACTACTGTTGTGTTCATTTGGATATTTTCTTGAAAAAGTTGTAAGGCAAAATATAAAAAAAAAAACGAAAATAATAAAATGAAAAACTTTCTGTCTATTTCTCTTTCTTACTAAATATGTTTACACTCAGGCATAATTTCACATGAAAATAGAGCCATAAGTGTTCCTAACATTAATTTCTGAGCATAATATTATGTCCATTTCTGAGAGAGTGACCATTACACACTGAATAAAATGTCTAATATTAAATTATTATGATTTTCCTTTCATAACAAAAACAACAAACATAATTTATTAACTTTTCTTCACAATGCTGAAAAACAAATAGCCGTTTTTTGATTGAAAAATAACACAAATGACTTTTGACATATTGTATAAACTATGCTGACAACAAACATACACTGCAACAGAGCATTATGGTTCCATGAACAATGAAAGGTTACAGGTATTCAATTTTTCAAGAATTAGAAGAAGTTTACTGACTTACCAAGGGGCCAAACTGTTTGGGACAAACACTTGGCAACAGCCATTCTAACATTTGGAACACCATCCCAAGACAACTTTAAGAGGTGTGGAAGGACGTCACAGGCAAATTGTTCAATAGGCACTGAGTTTTCAAGGACAAAATGGTGGCATAAAAATGCAAAGCTAAAAATGTAGAAAGTAAGCAGTCAATCCTGGAAACTTTTTGTTCCAACTGATTGGGCTATGATAACAATAATATATTAATATATGACATTTAATCATTTTAAAATATGTGTTAAGTATTCAAACTGAAAGCTGTGAAACACATTACGCTGGTATCCAAATGATTCCAAACTAAATTAGGTGATTCATACATTTAGTCAATACTTTCAATATAAAAATTGCAATAAATGAAAATTCTAGATATCATTATAAGCAGAATATGGATGTATGGATTTAAATATCCATGTAGTCCTCAAAAAAATCTAATGTTAGAATGTTACAAGCAAACAAAATATAATATTGATAATACATACATTGCCACCAAAGAATTTATATATTTCACCAAGTCAACTAGTAATATTTTAAGCAACTGCATTAAAATATGACTTACGTCTGCCTTAAAGACCACTTAGATGCGTGAGTAAACTTTTCAGCAAGTTCGGGTTTTGGTTTTTAAACCTTGTTTACCTGATTAACTAATTACTAATTTAATAAGATCTTTCATTTTGAAAATCTTAGACTAGTAATAGCATCCTTGCTCCATAGCCAGAAGATCTAAGTTTGAATTCATTCTCTACTTTATCAAAAATAGTTTTTCTTTGGACTTGCCTAAAGAAAAGCAACAAATTGTCATGTCTTTGATGAATTATTGATTAATTTATTAATCAGTAATATTAAAATAATTATTGTATAGTTTACACACTATGACAGCAATTAGACTTTGATTGCCAACTAAATACCTCTATTCTTTATCTATAATACATTGAGTGAATTTTAAACCTAGAAAGTGCAATGAATTTACTTACTTATGTTATGACTGCTTCCCCTTCTGTTTTGCAGAATATTTAACAACTTTACTCTTCTTTAGCTGGCTGTAATGATGCGACATCTTACTACAAGTCCCGATCCTTTATTTACAAAAAGTGTTTTGGCCATTTCAGTATTACTTCAAGAAATAGCAATATATCATTACTATATACTTTAAACTGGAAAAATTAAATGTAAAATCTAACTAGATAAAAATGAACTGTTTATTAAATGCAGTAATAGCTTCGTAAGAAGATGCTCCTTTTATGACACTAAAAATTGGAAAGTAATTGAAACTTTTGGAAAAATACAGAGTGATCATAAAGAAAAATCTCATTTTTTCAGTTATTATATCTTAAAAACCCGTATGTAAGGGAACACAATTTCATTAAAAGTAAATAAGAATCATACCTTTTATTCATGAAATTTGAATGGTACCTGGTGTTTCAAAACCATATTAACATGAACTTAAATAATTTTTCTCAGTATCATGGGTTTTATTTCTCTTCTTTCTTTCTCTTTCAATAATACAAAATTGGTGATTCGAATAAAACATGTGTCAATGTGCAGAGCTGTCAAATTAATAATAGTTATACTTTAGTCAAATGAAAATTCCAAAGGAATGTCCACAAGAACATTAAAAATGTATATTTGTCAATTCAAGGCAATTGGAATTGTAAGCTCCTAGTTCTGGATGGCCATATATATCTGTGTAAACAGTACCAGAAGTTGATCAGAATAACCAAGACAAAGAAGAAAAGTATCCTTTTTGGGTGGCAAGCTTATTATCTTAATTGCTTGTGTGTTGTTAAACACAGTGTTTTTTTTTGCCTTTACAACTAAACTTGGCAAAACATGTTTTAGTCCAATCAAGTAATCAATAAAATGTAGCTTAAAAATATCCTTTAGACAGAAGAAGCCAGTGGATACATTAAATCAAAAAATGCTGTCATCTACACCTATGAAAACCATCCACAGTTCACAAGAAGCCCAATCATGATTTTTATGGAGCAGCTTCACAAATATTTTAGCACTGATTCTTATTCCTTTGAAGTATTGATGAAATTAGCTGTTAGATATAGTCCATTATAAGGAAATGTTGGAAGACCATGTTATTCCAAGCAAGGAGAAGCAAGACATTGAGAATATCCCTTTCAAACAAGACAAGGCTTCCCCTCATATCTATCATCCCTATAAAAGGCTTCTAACAAGCAACTTCATTGAAGGCAGATTCAAAAGTTGTTTATTTGGGTAGATATGGTTGGCAAGATCCTCAGAGTTTCGGTTGTGGGGTATCCTTAGAGGGAATGTTTATTTGGATAGCCAATGAAACTTGGTTGATCTGCAAAAACAGCCTTAAAAATTCAAATGCAAGGATCAATGAACACTATCTAGGATAAGTGATGTTTGCAGTATCTTCATTTAATGATAGAGTTTATGTGCTGATTAAGAATGATGGCAAGCATATTGAATACCTTCTATGGATATTTTTTTGAGACACCCTGTACCATGTCTAAATTTGCTTGAAAAAAACATATGATTTTGATATGCTTTGATAAAATTTGGTTTCCTTACAATACGTAGTTTTAAGATATAATCATTTTCAATATGGCTATTTCTTTATAATCACCTTTCATACCTTACTATGATCAATATTAACACTGCTGCAAAAGTAAACCTGCATCCCACATAAATAACCCACTCACTAAACAATATACAGAAGGTATACATACTTTCAAATAAGTAAAGAAAAGTAAGCAATTCCTTTTAAAGTAACAATAACCTAAAACATCATGAAAAGTGTTTTAATTAGATTACTCACCCCACAAGTTATTTGTAAAAGTTTTATAGAATGAAAAAATATGCAAAAACAACACAATTTCCTAGCAAATAGTAAACTGTTAATATATTCATCCTATAATTATAATGGATCTGGACTTGTTTTAACTACACATTTCGTTAACTTCTGTAGTTATTGAAAATTATATCAAAGTTTTCTCCTTGTGGTTTTTAAACAAAAATAATTATATAAAATGAACAATTTAATTCTTACACAAGTTACTACAATTATTAAATACTAGGAAAACAAAACTGACCACTTGAAGTGATGTTTGTCTCACAAGTGCTACCTTGTCTCTCACCAAAATCATTGCCATGGGAACTAAGTATTCCTTTATGTCTGTAGGGCTGTAGAGATCTGTCACTCCTGTTAATTGCCTTAAAAAAATGAGTTGAATTAAAACCTATTGTTAATAGTGTGAAAAACTAAATTTATTCAACGAACGTACACATAGAAAATGGCATTACCGGTGTTTATTTATGGATTTTGTTCCTTTTACAATCATGCACACATATTGAGGATTTTTTGGAAACACTAAAAATGGTCAACTAATTTTAAGTGTAAAATTTCACTAACTGAATGACCTACAATACAATAAGCCTAAGTTAGTACATAATCAAACAAACATATGAATGAAAGAGCAAAAAATACAGAATGCCCTGAATCATTATAAATTAATAAGTAAAAATATATTTCAATCATTTCATTTATCCACAAACATACAATTACTATTAATACATTAATACAATTTTACCTCATTTTTATCAAAAGTCTAACAATTTCACTGCCTTAAGCTATTTTTAATTAAAAATAAACAAAAAACTCACTCTGACAGAGTTAACCTAAACCTCCAGTTTTTGTCATTGTCCATTTTAAGAAATTCTGATAATCTAGGTAAAAATTCTCGTCGTTCTAAAGGCTTCAGAAGCTGAAACAAAGAAATCAATTCACAACTCAAAGAAGGATACACAAAATGTAGAGAAATGTTTCATACTTTTTACCACAATCTTAAATACAATCAACAATTTGTCAAGAGAGGCTAAGTTTAGGTTAAGCATGATAATAAAAGTTTGTTACCTTGTCTTACATGGCCACCCATTAGTATCTTTACAAATAATAACATTGTTTTAATGATGAGTTAAACAACTAAATACATTTACACTATTAATAACCAGCTACACTTTACCTTTAGATACTTCCCGCTATTAATCATGATCAAAATGGCTAGCACACGAATGGGTTTTATTTTAAGTATTACATTTTTTTTTTATAAAAAACATATTTTATATAAATATCTTGCATAGGGGATCAAACTTACATCTGAATTTCTAATATTATATAATTTGATAAATTTCATAGAGAATTAAGTTAATGTAATTTCTATTTCATTGCAGGTTTTACAAGCAAATTAAGTAAGTACAAATTTTTAAATTATATATAAAATTTCTTTGAAGTTAAATATGAAACCATACTTCAGGGAAAACTACTTATTGAAAAGTTTTTCTCATGTTTACTAGCCAATTTAATAACGATTATTCTTCTGATATTGTATTTACTGTGGTGCAAGTTTTTTTATTACCTATCTTTAATAACAATGTACCATGCAAGCAAAAGTTTTCTCTTTCTTTTTTGCTTTTTGTTAACTTAACTGTAACTGTAAGTTAGTATTTGTGATCTGCCGAAAAAAATTATTTAAAATCCCACCTTTAAAAAATGTGATAAATGTTGCAAAACACCTATACGAACTTCATCTAAGTCTCGCAAAAAGCTGGCAAAGACAGGTAACAGGTCTCTTGTAGCAAGGTCTGGTCCCAGAATAACCGCCAACTCATGGAGAGATGAGGCCAATGTTCGCCGAACCTTCCACTGAAAAAAATTTAATTTGTGAAAAATGCCGAAATAACACAATCTTATTCCATCTATACTATGAAATATTTATTGATTTTAAGGTAAGTAAATGAACAAAATATCCCTTTTCTCTAAAATAACATAAATACTTATATAAGTACATACTGTTTTATATCATCTTTGGCTGCTTTCAATTCAAATAATGTTATAAAATGTAATGATGCACAGAAAACTTACAAACCACAGTATTTTCAATAACTTGATTGGTTGTAATGTATTTTAGTGAATATTTCTGGTTTGCTATTAAACAGTAATGACTATTATTATACTAATGCTAGACTGTATACATAAGCGGTTTATCGTGGTGTTATATTAGGTATTTTGCTTTATTGTATTTCAAACTAATATATAAACTTAACAGAAATGCACTCAAAACTGTAATCTTCTGAACTGTTTCAAAATACAACAACATTGCTTTAGCTTAAATAACAAACCAATAAGAAATTGCTACTAACTTAATGTCAAGAATTATTGTCACAAGGTTGTCAATTTATCAAGATAAGGAACTGAAAAGAAGTTCATACCTGCATGTCTGAGGCCAGAGCTCTATACGTGGTCTTCAAACATGGCCAATACTTTCGCCCTAGCGTTAGGGCTACAGCTGGGAGGCTGTAAGCACACTGCCGGGCTATCTCAGCATCAATTGTCTGGGCTCGTGTGGGATCTGTCATGCTGACATAATGCTCTAAAAGTTCTGGAGGAACAATGTCCTGAAAAGTACAAGAGTTACTTAAGTTATGGAATACTATACAAGTTAGACTTTGATACACACTAAC